GTGTTTACTTCTTATACGAGGCCCTGCATGGACCACCAAAGATAACCTTGGTAGAAGGTGCAAATGCAGCTCTGCTGGATATTGATTTTGGGACTTACCCCTTTGTAACCTCCTCGAATTGCACTGTTGGAGGCATCTGCACTGGTTTGGGGACGCCCCCTCAAAATGTGGGGGAGGTGTACGGTGTTGTGAAAGCGTACACCACTCAGGTTGGCATTGGTGCCTTTCCTACAGAACAAGACAACGAGATTGGGGAATTACTGCAAACAAGAGGTACAGAGTTTGGTGCAACTACTGGAAGGGAAAAAAGACGGGGCTGGTTGGACCTCATTTTGCTCAAATATGCTCACATGATTAATGGGTTTACTGCATTGGCACTTACCAAATTGGATATTTTGGACATGTTTACAGAGATCAAAGTTGGAGTTGCTTACAAGTTAGGTGGTGAAATCATACCTCATTTCCCAGCAAACCAGGAAGTCTTAAATGAAATTGAAGTTCAATATAAGACTCTCCCAGGATGGAACACAGATATATCAAATGCACAAACATTTAAGGACCTACCTGTCAATGAGCAAAATTATGTTCGATTTATTGAAGATGAGCTTCAAATTCCAGTTAAATGGATTGGTGTTGGGAAATCCAGAGAATCTATGATTCAGCTCTTTTAAAGATTTCCAGTGAAATAAGATACACTCCTGAAGAGAGGGAGGAAAAAGACTCAGACACTTCACTTCTAATCTGAAAATGCAAGAATAAAGACCTTGCCGGGCACAGTAAGGCCTGCCGTTGTGTCCAGTCTCCTCAATGGAAGTGGACTTCGGCATATTTCCGGGTCAGCTTCCGTTAGCTGCCGTCATCGCCGAATCATTCGTTGCTCCTGCTGCTCGTGGTGCCACATTTCTTCTTAACGTTTAGTGGTAGTGAAGTCCATGCTGTTTGCAAACAGGAAGAGAATTACTTTCAGTGTAGTTTTTCTTCATTCTTGGCATTGTGTGTTCTTAGGTTTTGCTCCCTGTTAGATTATAAGAACAATTAATGCAATTTTGCACACATACTTTTTACATTCTGATCATTCAATTTTGTCTTTGCTGTTAGGAAAAAAATGATT